TCAGTATCAGACTTGTCGTCGCCCACCAACTACACATTCTTCCCGTGGACATTGCCTCCAGAGCTGGTCCCGTTCAACGCGACCAGCGCACCGATGACAATTCGCCCTACGCTCGACATCTCTTTCCCCGCGCTTCCCGGTATGGTCGTGGGCCCCGGATCACTGGAACGAGTGCGCGATGGCATCTTCATCAAAGCCATCGGGGGCCTACGGCTGAGTATGGTCCAGGATGTCCCCGTTCTAGGAGAAACTGGCAGTTCAGAAGGGGACGAATTCCGAGTCCAGGTGATCAACAACGTGCCGCTGGGCAAAGACGAGAAGGTATATCTTCTACGGGAAATCACATTTGATGTCCTCGACCCCACCGACCCGAACTTCACGCGGGTTCGCGACACCGCCATGGTTGACATCGTCATTGACGTTATCCCAGAGTCTATCCGTCGACGAAATGATTCAGATGATAGTCATGAACCAGCTGCACCTCGACGTGCCAATGGAGCCATCGTCCACGGCTCCAGCGCCGTCGACAGCAAAGTCGGCAGCGTAGATGCATCGACCTCCAGCATGAAGACCGTCCTCTCCTCGCTGGTCAACACCCTATCCACTCTCCTCCGGGATGAAGTGCAAGGCCAGACCAGCCTGCCGCAGAAGAAGAAACCAACCTCGTTACGTCTCCTGCTCCCGGCCGCCATCTCCACGGGGCTCGGCTCCGCCCCACTCCCCGACGTGGAAGACGCCACAACCGTCTCCATCACAGGCGACCCTTCCAAGCAACGCCTCACCTGGAACAGCATCTACTTCGCGGACGATCTCTGCGACGACCGCATCCTCCGAGAAGTAGCACAGAACCACCAGGTTCTCGTGATCAAGCGCGGCGGATGCAGCTTTTCGCAGAAGCTGCGCAACATCGCCGCGTATCCGCCTTCCCGGTACGCCCTGAAACTCGTCATCGTGGTCTCCTACGATGACGAAGTCGAGGAGCAGCACGACGGATCAGACACCACCACCACAACCCCCGGGTTAGCCGCGGTCCGTGCAGAACCCCATCTGGTGCGGCCCCATCTGGACGAGACGCAAATGACAGCCGCGGGCGTCCCGCGACGCCAGCTTCTCAGCGTGATCATGGTAGGCGGAGGGCAAGAGACATACGAGCTACTGCGACAGGCCACGGGAGTGGGAATCAAACGGCGATATTCAGTACGATCGCAGGGTGTTCCCATCAATAATTTGTATATTTTGTGAGACGACATATGTACTACCCTGGTACATAGCCATTGCAACGAGTAACTACCTACCTACCTAAGATAGCATCATAGCATAGTATAATAAAACATGACATAGTAACATTCCCAGTACACGTCACTCCTCCCGCCTCCACCTCGCACATTAACATACCAAAGCCATAGCCATGACATACACACATACCAACTCAACGATGATCTCCATTCAATCTCTCGCCACCTCCATACGGCAACCTCCGAAACGGAAAGATAAAAAATTGATCGGCAATCATTCGGGTCCCCCTCTAGCCTCCACGACCGAAGATCCGCCCCCGTCACATCAAATGTCGCCATTAAGATTAATGGTTACGAAAAGTATTGGTTGTAGGTAGTTGTGGCTGCCACGGGGTAACTCAGTGGCACAGATGACTCAGCTTTGCTCAGCCTCAGACTGACCGCTGAAGAAAGTAACAAGTAGTGGCGGTGGGGCAGATTTACTTGCCGATTGGTTGAAACGGTAAAACCCCGTGGAGAAAATCGATCCATAACTGAAAAACCGTCCCTGCCGATTTAGAACCGAAGGAAAAGTATAATGTAAGGCGAACGGCGCGGGATGGCGAAAATGAAAGCGAGGAGGTTTAAGGTTTACGTGGTTTGGAATGTGTCCCTGATTTAGTTGATTTGGAGGAAAGGAGGGGGGCAATGGATGGATGGGTATAAATACTTGGTTTTCTTTTCTTTCTTCTTTATAGGTGGTCTTTTGTTTTTGAAAGCAAGACATACTTGTTCTCTTTCCATTTAGGTTTATTTATCTGGGCTGGTTGGAGTACTATTATTCTAGTCACTCTCTCTTCTTACTCTTCACTCTTTCTTTCTTGAGTATATATCTACATACTACCAGTCCCATCCCTCTCTACTATCACAACTACAACCACTACAAACCAAACTTCTCACTCAATACACACAAAATGCATCTCCACACAGACCTCGACGTCGACACCACCACCACCCCCATCAACATCACTACTGCCACCTCAGCAACCAAACCCACCACAACCACCACAACAACTCTCACCGAACTCACCTCCACGACCCCATCCCCACCCCCCACAACCACCCTCACCAGTGGTACCGCTAAACCCCTCTACTTTGCCTACGGCTCCAACCTCTCCCCCACGCAAATGGCCTCCCGCTGCACCGCCCTACCCTCCTCCTCCATCCCTCTCGCCATCGCCCGCCTTCCTAAATGGCGCTGGCTGATCCACGAGGGCGGCTACGCCAACATCGTGCCCCCCGCTGAGATGTGCGTCTCGAAGCAGCAAGCCGAGTGCATCTCGACCGGTGAGGTGGGTGTTGCGGGCGGTGTCGATGAAGATGCCGTGTACGGTGTATTATATGATATGGGAGAGGAGGATGAGAGGATCCTCGATGGGTTTGAGGGCGTGGACTATTCGGCTCCGGATGCTGCTGAAGAAGGGGCGGTGGAGGGCATGGTGAGGGAGAAGGAGCAGGGTCATGGGAGTTATAACAAGTGGGTTGTGGAAGCGGAGGTGGTTAAGTGGATGAATGTTGATGGGAATGAGGCCAAGACGGTGCCCGTGTTGGTGTATGTGGATGAGGTGAGGGTACGGAATGGTCCGCCTAAGGCGGAGTATGTTCCCAGGATGAACCGGGCGATTCGCGAGTCGGTGACCCTTGGGTTGCCTGCTAAGTGGGCGGAGGAGGTTATGAGGCCGGCTATTCCGTTAAATTAGTTGGGTTGATATAGAATAGACATAGATGTCTTGCTAGATCTTTTATAATATAAGCATAGCATATTATTACATTTCATGGTGTCATTGCTATTTCATAGTCTATGCAAAAATGTTGAAATTCCATGCCACGCCTGATTGACATCGACTCGTGTAAGAAAAAAGTAAACATCAAGTATTTTAACTTTTATAGCCCTGGTGGAGAGAACACGTCAGGTTCGTTTCGGTGCCGTTCCCGGCGGGTGGGAGTTGAATTGCTTGTTCTATCATGTCCCATGTCGACCATCCAGTCGATGCGATCGATTCCGTAGCGATCTCTGGCGAAACCCCGTGGGGTTGCTGCCGCAGTGTCTGCGGCATGTTCGACCACTTCCCAGGAGTGGTAGCGAGCGAGCGTGTATGTGATTTTTCTCTTTTTGTGCGTGCAGTCCTCCGAACAGGTAATGTTTTTCGAATGCATGTCATAGGGTCATTTAAGCCTTGGTCTCCTGGCCAGTAAGAAGAGTGTAGACGGGGGCAGGCAGCTTGTCCCGTCCGTGAAGGAACTCGAGCTCGAGGAGGAAAACGAAGCCCATCAGCTCACCACCCTTGCGGTTGATGAGTTCACCGGCCGCATACGCCGAACCACCTAGTTCAGTTGATCAGCAACTATGCTCGCACCTGAAATGTGAAATTGAGAGAAGGGGAAACAGTAAACATACCAGTAGCAATGATGTCGTCCACCACGATCACCTTCTGACCGGGCTTGATCGCATCGGACTGCATCTGGAAGAAGTCCGTGCCGTACTCCTTCTCGTAGCCCTGGGTGTCGCAAGGACCAGGGAGCTTGCCCTGCTTGCGAACGGGGACAAAGCCAGCACCCATGCGCAGGGCCAGGCTAGGTCCCATCAGGAAGCCACGGGCCTCCAGACCGACGATGACATCGGGCTTCTGGCCGCCGTTGCTCTCGAGAATGTGGAGCTCGAGGCAGCGGAGCAGGGATTCGTGCAGAACGGGATCAGCGAAGATCGGGAGGATATCTTCGAACAAGATGCCCGGGGACGGGAAGTCGGGGAACTGGCGCAGGGCCTCACGCAGCTTTACTTTAAGACTGGCGAGTTCGGCGGTGCGGGCGGAAGAGGAGGAGGACTGTCCGGCGACTTGGGCGGCGGTGGTGGCATGAGGAGGTTGCACGGGGGGAGTAGAAGTTGGTTGAGACATGGTGAAAGAGAAGGAGAGGAAGGAAGAGAAAGAAATAAGAGAGACTAAAAAATAGGGGGGGAGGAGTAGAAGGAGGGGAGCAAAAGCAGACCAGGAGGTGAGGGGTGAGGAAGATCGAAAAAGGTAAAAATAGTTGAAATCGGCGTGATAAGCAAAAAAAGAAAAGAAAACGAAAAAGACGAAGGAGGGGAAATGTGAGGGAAAATTGTTCCAAACAGGAAATAAGAAAATTATGGTGAAGATCTGGTGGTATTGACATTACAGTTATCTATCTCTGTGATATGGTCATATTCCTGTAAGTTCCCCTTCTTTACTTATTACTGTACACCATTGCTGGAAGGCGTCACCTTGAAGATGCCTTATCCCCAACATATAATTTTTATCATTATAAAGCTTATACAGAAATTAAAATATAGTCAAAACTCTACTCCAATCTTCAAGAGATCTTTCGTCGCACAAATTACTTACAAGGCATTTCAAAACCAGTATGACTGGACGGACGACACACCTGCAAGTTCGGGTACTGTATGGAAACGAACCTGCATGGTGGTATGTATGGTAAGCGGCGGAACAGACTTGCCCCTCCTCCTCCATCAATGAAGTCGAGAACCTTTTCTTTTCTTTTCTTTGCCAGCATCCAGACTCAACTGGTTATAATCAGCCCATCTGGGAGGGTGTCAGAACGTGAGTCAGTGAGGTGGTCCGTTGGCACTGTCATCCATTCATATCCAAAGCATTGTCCGCCTTCTGTTTCAGAGAACAGTCCAATCTCATCCGTGGAGGGAGGGACACCCCCTCCTCCGGGCTGAACTATATCGCGTATAACCGTCTAAAGCCAGTCCAAAGTCGTACTACGCCAATGGCGCCATGATGCAAGTCACTGATTCCAGGTTATGCACCCCTCGCGCTATTCATTACTCTCACTGGTTCACCCGCTCTCTATCGGGCCTTTGCCAGAATTGTCTGCCAGTGGACAGGTCGAGTCAACTGCGCTGGGACCTCGACTTGATACTATCTACTCAATACAACATGCTACTAATCCATTACCTTGTTACCCTACCGTTCTTTCCGCTGCAGCGACTTACGGTGTAAATGTTTGATTACTGCCAGTTGTACCTCTTTTCCCTGCCCAGGTGGGTAGTAGTAAGGCACCTACGAGGTTCCTGAAACAATCCACTGGACAGGGCCTGACTGTTCTGTACTGACCACTGTCTATCGGTGGAGTTAATCACCGCCGGGGATCGTCATGCTGTGCTGGACTGACTCCATCCTTAAGCCGAGCGGATAGCATTTCTGCTTTTCCCCGGCACGGGCAACACTACTACATTATTCACCACCGCCTGATCGTCCCTGCGGTTCGCAATCCCATTCTATAAATAATGCGCTTCATTACGTCCTCACCCGTGGTGTGACGGTGGCAGCCCATGTTTTCTCTGGTCTGAGAGGCCATCAGCATTCACAGCCACAACCACCACCGATCGAAGCACCGGCTTCTAGACCCCGTCCAGGCCACACGTGAAAATACTGGGCCATCCAAATGGAGCTCGGGAGCGATCAAGAACCGGTTGGCCACACCGCTGTGGTCGCTCACGCTAGACGATAAGCCCGGCGATTTGCTGGCTCGACGGACGCGCTAGAGGATTCATCCAGGATAGTCTCCAACTATCGAACTTGGGATGGGCTGGCCCGCCATCCCCTTCCCCCCTCAAGACTCGTAAATTACCGGATCGCCGGTTAATTAGGAGCGCCGCCGGTGACAACTTGGACCTGCAGCATCACCACCTCGCCAATGGTCTTGCAATCATCGGTGGTTGTTTTGGGATAGGCTACCTTCATACTTATCTACTCTAGTCCTCTCATCGGCCTCCCTTTGAGCATGTTTCAGTCGGGCCCGCTACCTATCAACTCCTCCTCTGCATCACCTTATGTGACAAGTATGCCACAAATCTGATCGGCGCAATTCCCTTCTTCGTTTCCCTTCATTGTTCTAGATTTCACTTATCTTTCCCATACACTCGCGTTCGTGGCACGCTGCCTGCACGAGCATTCTCTTCGGGGTACATGGCTTGATCATTGGGTGCTGTCTTTGGCCAGATTCCTTGAGTTGTTTTGGCTTATTCCAATAACCCGGGCCTTGTCTTAGTGACGAAGCCCTGGTGGCTGACAATCAGCCTGCTACGGAATCGCTCTTCATTGTTGGAATAGGTCCTCCATGCTAGCCGCGTCTGCCTACGCACGCTGAGGTTCCATTCAACATTGTCCTGGCTAAGTGTACAGGTTTCCTGTTTGGTAGGCGAGAGATGCTAAAGAAGCTCGAGTTCGAGGAGCCCGTTGCTTGCAGGCTGGCTGAATGTTGCGGCGTTTCCGGCGTATCACCGCGGTGGTATACTAGTCTTCATTAGCTCACGGCGCCCTATGGCCCAGGGTTTGGGAGTTACCTAAACCAATATCTGTTGAGGTTCCATTTTCCGAAGTGCAGCGGTTATAACGGCATCTCAGCACACGCTTTAATGCTTCGCCCAACAGATTCGAATTAGTTCCATTCCATGCCGATGAGCTGCCTCTGATTTCATTGCAACTAAATTCCGTGGCTGCCGTATAAATCGGTGTCTCTTGGTAGGCGACAAGGTTGCTGTCACTGGCCCGTTCCGCGGAGGAGATGCAATTGACGGCCGGACCTGTCCCTGATATTTCGTCGCGTTAACTTGGAAGGCGTGAGCAGAGGCTTCGCCATACCTACTTCATGTTCGGAGTATATGCAAGCTAGTGTATCCACCATAGGCAACTAAGATAGCTCGGCGATTGGTCTCAACCGATAAACAAATTATGAGGTCAAATTGAAGCTAATTATGCGCTCACACGGCACCCCGACCCGTCTCGACGACCGATACGACCCAACGCGCATGTTCCTTTGCCAATCCAGGTACCATCAAATGGACTCCACCAGGCTTATCCCAATCGCATATCCGAGGAAGTCCGGAACTTCTGGTGCATGTGTGCTGTGCAATCGCTGCGTCGATATTGGTCCTGGATGGCCTCGTGCCCCATGGTCTGTCTCTTTTCCCACCCCGCGGCGCAAAAGCATGTCTTCTAGAACTTCTGGAAGGCTTCTGTGGTATGACGATAATACAGTAGTCGTACTGTTGTGATCTGTACCGGGACCCCGGATGGTACACCTATTTTACGCCCTCCTTCCCGGGAGCTACGTGAGAGGCAGTCATTTACGTAGGTGGACGGCCGGTAGGTACTCTGCAGCCAAAGGTGCGGCAGCATTATGCATGCTACTAATGCATGGCGCAGACACGCCATGTACGCACGGATAGCTGGCCGTCTTGTGGTCGGGGTTTCCTGACTAGTCCGGGCCGCAACAGGCGGTCCAGAATCGCACCCTACGGCGGGATCGTCGCGTTTCGCGCATCCTCGTGTGCGTTGCGCCAGAGCGCAGCGGAGTACATGCTGCATATTGGATAACATGAAGAGCTGTAGGGACGAGGGTGTGCGGAATTCCCGATGAGGACATCCCACCGCATCACCGATGTGTGCACTGGGCGCTTCAGGCCGAGGTCCAAGGTAGTACTGTAGCCGGGGGGTAAGGGTAGTGAGAGATACATGGCCAATAGTTATGCATTAACCTGAACCTATCAAGGCGGTGGTTGTTGGTATGTAGAACCTGCCAGTGTTTGTTGGTGGCTGATACAGGCGCATCAATCAAGATGGGGAGAGGGAAAGAAGGTGGGTATCAAAAAAAATACCAAAAAGGAAAGCCCAACGCGGGGCTCGAACCCGCAGCCTTGAGATTAAGAGTCTCACGCTCTACCGATTGAGCTAGCCGGGCAAAGGGAAAGAGGAAGTTGAACAGCCCAACGCGGGGCTCGAACCCGCAGCCTTGAGATTAAGAGTCTCACGCTCTACCGATTGAGCTAGCCGGGCTATGCTCGTTGAATGCCGGCGCACAGTATGGGTCTACATTCTTGAGAAACCGATATGAAGCATCCTCGCATCAATGTCACTACTCCCTTCCAACGAATTCAATTTCGATACCGCAATGCCTAAACGGCCCTCTTTCGCTACTACACATTCATCGAGACAGGGTTCCTAGCTCTTATAAATCTACGGGATCAAAAATGATGCACATAGTACTCCAGGGCCACAACAATGGGATATGAATGTCTCCATGGATGACGATATATATAATAGTAACCCAGTAAGTAGTATAGCGGCAACAGGCCAGTTCATCAACACGCCCTACCGCACCCTGGCTCAAGTATGATGGCCTGGCAATGATTTACCACCCGGTCCCTGGTGCAAACTGCAGACCCAGCGCACGTTAGCGATCCACTGAATAGGACTGCAAGCCAAAGTAGATGAAAGCCAACAAGACTACAATTGCCACACGACTCACGAGCATGTCACAACTGAAGCACCGGATAGCAGCGGCCAACTCTTAGTAGATTTCCCAGCCAATCGACAGTAACTTCATAATTGCCAAAGACTAATGCCATTGATACCGGAACAAACAGCGAGTTGCATCCGACAATGCCTGCAATCGGGCCAGCCCGCGAGCGAGACCCGCCAAATGCATGCCTGATGTCACACCACCAGCTCACTATCTCTTCCGTACTTGATCTGCCCAACCTTATGTTATTCGAAACTACTCGCAGCTAAACTACTACCCCTCGCCCCTCGATGTCCTCACAGACAAGTCATCCAAATCCATTGCAGCATCAACCGCCACAAAGGAGTACAGATAACGGAGGTATCTGGGTTGTTCCCAAAACAGCACACATCACGTGGTAAAGCACGGGCCAACTCGCTTAGCTTTCCGCCTATTTATTTCGGCTTGAGGCTATTTTGCTCCTCTGGCTCACTCGCCCTTTGATGTTCTCATTGCGCACTTCTGCTCAGTGCAGAAGTGCCCTGCCAGACCATCTGATGTACAGATATCTATCACACTGTAACACCTAACCTTGACTCATGATGTCTCCTGCACCCATCGCTGCAGGAATGCAGCAAGACCAGCGGCTGGAAACCCTGGCCAGAGCTTTCGAAGCTCTGTTGCTCACAACCCAACAACTCAGCTGCAGGGAGAAGAGCTTGCAGCAAAGGCTGAAATATGCCTCCGAGGAGGTAAATATCCCATCCATCCAGTTTTCATCCCCTCCCCACATACCTTGCTGTCTCAAAGGACGAGAAAAATCGATTAGCTCTAGATCAGGAGTCGCATCTGCGGCGGTGACCGATTAAGTCATGTATTATCTGATGAGACTTTACACACTTGCACTGTTTTATGCATATCTATATATATTTGAATGCATATGCTAACATGCTCTCAGTATTTGAAACTCGCAGGAAAGCTCCCCGGTGGAGTTGACGGTCATACGAAAGTCGTCGCGGATAAGATGCTCGGTCGTTATGCCGAATACGATCACAATCCCAAACCAAACATAAAACCTCCGGACGTAGTAAAGGCGCTGGCCGAGTCTGGAAACGTAGGAGATCTTGCCCTGACCGCTATAACGGAAGGGCTGACATGTTACCAATCTATCATACCACCTCATGAGTCCAGGCAGCTCTCGGAGTTCGACTCCTGTCTTGTGGCGACGAGAGCCGGAGTGCCTGCTCCCCTAGAAAAAGACTTCACTACCAAGGGCACGCAGGGAAGTTTGCGTTGTCCTTTTGCGAAGCATAACAATAAGACCTCTGAAAATGGGGTGTCCAATGGGACGCACAGTCCATTAAAGGACCAGAACGGGGATGCGTGTGGACATGCCGATCTAGACCCCATCAAGGCCGAGCAGAGTGATAGACGCTCGAGTCGGGCTCCTTCGACGCGGTCCTCGGCCACTCGCTGCCCGGTTTCTCGCTGTCCCATAAGGTATCTAGACCAACATAGTCCGGAGGAGATTGCCGACTATGTTGAGAGGCACAAGCATGAGATCCCTAGAAGCCATGCTATCTGTGTCCAACGGTACCAGCGGGACGGGCAGACCATGCGGCAGCTGGATGCAAAGTACGGTAGCCTTATCAATATGATCCAAGGCTTGTCTGCCAAACATAAAGCATTCCTACCAGAGCCGAGTCAAAATGGCACGGCACCCTCTAGCTCGTCTGCGGAAAGGGTGGAGAAATGGGCACAGGAAGTTGACATGAAGTCGGACATGCATCCTCCCATCAAAGAAGAGCAGGAGGAAGAGGCGGCGGCCGAACAAGAGGATGAAGAGCGAAAGGGCCATTTCGACCGTCCCTTGCGTGAAATCCGTGTCGGCGAATCCCCAAGCCGGCCCTGGGGGATCCCTGTTCCGGTGTCGCCTCTACCTCCAACCGCATCACCCCCTCAATCCCCTCCGCCTGCACCGGTTGCAACCTCAATTGATGCGGTAACCAGCAAGGTTCCCAATGCCGCGCCTGCAGGCCTGTCCTCTATGCCGCCGCCTGGTAACACAGCTCCGGCTCCTCCCGCTAACGCGCCCAAGAAGGGCGGGTGTCCCTTCGGACATGGTGCGCCCTCCGGTGACAAACCACCAGCCAAGATGGAAACCATTCCCACACCTGTTAAAGTGGATAAGGCAGACGAACCTGCCGAGAAGAAGAATGACGAACTACCTGGTGACCCCCCCAGTCCGTCGAGTAAACCAGCAGCCAACATTGTGTTCAACGGGCCTGTCTTCTTTGGGTTTTCCGCAGAGCAGACAGCTGCGTTCATGCAGCAGTTGAGCAACCTGGGGGCGAAGGGGCTAGCCTAGAAGTTGGCTGACTGGATGACATGATTTGATTGTTTCTGGCATACACATTTGCATTGATATCCCCACCTGTTGCTTGTATACTGTATCACGATG